CCTACGTCGCCGGCGTGAGCGGCAGCTGCTGGGCCATGGCGGCGTACTACACATCCGGCAACACCAACATCGACCATATCCTCGAGCACTGCAAGAGACGGCTTTCGCCGTATCATCCGCTGTCCGACGAGGCGATACGCATGACGTTGACCGCCCCTGACGGCGCGTACAACACCCTGGGCCCTCTCGTGCAGAAGCACCACAGCAATCTGCACATCGTGCTCATGGACCTGTATTCGGTGCTTATCACCGGATACCTGTTTCTCCAACACGGCTCCGAACCGGACAGCCAGCAGCAGCAGCAGCAGCAGCAGCAGCAGCGTGGCTGGTACAAATGGTCGAGCGTCCAGCGGAGGCTCAGGGACGGTGCAGAACCGCTCCCGATCCTGACGGCCATCAGACACGAACGGCCATGGAAGGTCTGGGTCGACAAGGAGCACCCATTCCGGGACCAAGACGACCCGATGACGTCCAGGGAGCAGCACACGGAGACGGTGGACTCCTGGTTCCAGTGGTTCGAGATGACGCCGTACGAGATCGGGTGCGACGAGCTGGAGGCGTGGGTGCCGACCTGGGGGTTTGGGCGGCCGTTCGAACTGGGCAAATCGACGATGCAGCTCCCGGAGCAGTCGCTGGCGCTGCTACTGGGACTGTGCACCAGCGCGCCCGCGGGGCCGCTGAACTCGTATCTGGCGACCATCAAGCGCAATCTGCCGCCGGGCTCGATCGGCAACGTGGTGCACGATCTCGCGCACAAGATCACGCACCTGTGGGGCAAGCAGCGAACGGAGGAGTTCCAGCAACACCATCCGCTGCACGCGTGCAACGAGCACAACTTCATGTTCCATCTGACGCCCGTCGCCAGGGGTCAGGCGCGGCCCCCCGGGATCGAGAACTCGCCGCGCATCCACCTGATCGACTCCGGGCTGGACAACAACTGCCCGACGTACGTGCTGCTGCGGCCGGAGCGCGAGGTGGACGTGATCATCACGATGGACGCCTCGAGCGACGTGCACAAGGACTGCTTCCACCAGCGCGTCGACCAGATCGGCAGCCGGCGCGGCATGCACTATACAAAGCGGCTCGACAAGAATCATAATAACGAGGGACTGCTCTACGCGCAGGTCTACGACGGCACACCAGCCGAGCGGCCCGCGACGGTAGTCGACTCATACGGCCACACAGTAACCAACCCGCCCGCACCAGTCTGCTACGCGGACAACACGATGATCTACATGCCGCTGCTGCCGAACGAGCGCGCGGTGCCGGGCTTCGACCCGTCGACGGCCAAGTTCTCCGGCAGCTACAATCTGGTCTGGACGCCGGAGCAGATCGAGATGCTGGTCAAGGTTGCGGCCGCCAATTTCGCGGCGGGCCACGACAGGATCCGCCGGGTTCTGCTGGAGACGTACGAGAAGAAGAAGGCCCGGCGGGAGGGGCGGGCTTGAGAGCAGTCAGTCGATCCAGTCGATCGTTCATTGTATTTAAGTCTCGTCTGTGTAGATTGTCTGTCTGTATATAAACGGTTGAGAAGAAGTTGGATACCCTTTCCCTGATCTCTTCAGTCCAGATATCCTACTTAGTCTACCATTTTTTTTGTAATGACCTAGAAATTCAATTCTCAGATTTATGTGCAATACTCCATTAAACTTGAACTATGGGACAGTTCGAACCTTATCCTTGAAACCACTGATACAAGGTACATATGTACTGTAATGTCCACTAGGTAAGTACTAATGGTTAATACAGAGCACTTGTTCTGTCTGCTCATTAAAAGAACGCATATTTCCAAATTCAGCATGTCTTTCACAAGACATGAATCTATGAAACAAACGGTAAAACAGCTCACGAAAAGACAGATGAAGCAACGACAATCGTCCTCGCATTTCCCCAAGGCCTGTGGACCTCAAGCCAGCTTAATATATATTCTTCCTAAACAATGTACACGAATCTTAGTCCAAAAGCATCCCGGCCATCCATAGCTATACTTTATTTTGTCCGGAAAAGGAAAAAAACCAAAAACGGACTACAACATGCGATCCTCGCCGCTGGAACACAGATTACCATGCCAAGGACACGGCCAGAGCCACAACCGCGCCAAAGGTGCTCAGGACGCCAGACGAGTGCTGCCGGCTAGCAGCTCCGGTGTGGGTGGCGGAGGCAGCAGTGCCGGTAGCGCTGCTGGTGCCGTTTCCGTCGCTGCTGCTGCCCGAAGTGTTGGACCCAGGCGTGTTGACCTCGTTGTTCTGCAGGGCGTTCAGCCTAATACCCGAGATCACCTTGCCAGTGTAGTCGTAGACAGTGTTCGGGATCTCCTGAGACGACACCGAGACCAGCTTGCCAACGGTGGCGCCCTTAACTCCATTCTGAATCAGGTCATCCACACCCTGCGGGCGAGCCGGAAGGTCGAACGTGTTCAGGAAGTTGCCGGTGATCAGGTCAGCGCTGCACGGGACAGGCTTCACGGAGGTCTGCGTCGTGTTGGAGGACTCGATGCGCTTCACGTCAATCTTGTCGAACTGCTTCTGCAGGTTGTCATAGTCGATGAGCAGGGTGACGGTGTTGTTGTCGTTGATCTGCACCAGACCGTAGTTGTTGGCTTCCTGGGTCCATTCGTAGACCAGACCACCAGAGAAAGCCTGGGTCATGTCTTCGCCATACAAAGCCTGGACTTCGGTGAAGACGCGAGGCTCAACAAGGTTGCAGCCATATTCGGAGAAGAAGGCCGGCAAAGAAGCGTTGGCGAAGTCGGCGGTCAGGACATCGTAGCCACTCTTCGTGTAGCTGGAGTCACCACACCATGAGTAGGAGTTGAGACCGAAGAAATCCGAGCGGGAGCTGGTCGCGTTGGAGATCTCGCAGGACATGTAGTTGGCAGTGTCCACCAGGATGTCCCGGACGTCGGCGGCAGAGTATCCGACCGGAATGGGGCGTTGGACGTTCTTCGCGATGTAGTCCTTCAGGTCACGCTGGACAGCCTAGATACCACAAAACAGACCCGGTCAGCCACAGCTTCAGTAACGAGAATAGTCAGACAACGGACGTACCCGAATGTACGCTGGAACCTCCTTAGTACTCTGCTCGTTGATGACCTCGTTTCCGGCGAAGAAGCCGAGGGTGTTGGGGTAGTTCTTGAAGGCCTCGACGACGGAGAAGATGCGCTGCAGGTAGTCCAGGTCGTAGGTGGTCCAGGGAGCCGTGCGGTCGAGACTGCCATTGGGCAAGGGAGAGTTCACATCCAGGAGCATGTAGATACCGGCCGCGTTGAAGATGGAAGCGCAGTCGTCATGGCTGACGTTGGTCGCCAGGTTGTAGACACGAATGGTGTTGATCTAGATGGAATCGCAGTGAGCGGCCAGTTCACTGGTAAACAGTTTGGTCAGACATACACCCAGACGCTGCATCAGAGCGGCATCTCGCAGGCAAGAGGCCTTGTCACTGAGAGGGTCAGAGTCGCCAGAGAAGCCAGAGGAGCCGCCAGGCTGATAGCTGCGAGACGATTAATGAGGCCTCTCTCGACACACCACCAGAATCGATATCCTTACTCAACACCGATGATCTGGAAGCGATCCTTGGTAACACTGTCGACAAAGTCTTTTCCGTCGACGATGAGCGGGTTCACTGCGACGGCAGTGGTTGCCAGCCCGCAAAGCGCAGCGAAGAGACGGCTGTACGACTAGTCCAGAGTCAGTTGCGACAATTCGAAGGAGCAGAGACGGAGAAAGCCACATACTGGCATGTTGTCGCTCTCAGTAGGTATACGGACGAATATTGAGGAGGACCGTGGGGGCGATGAGACAGGTCAGAACAGAGTGCAGACGGGGAAAGAGTGGCCGCGCACGATGCGCAAAGAGACTCAACGAGGGGAAAAAAGCAGCGACGAGCGAGCGACTGAAGAATGATGAAGAGAAAAAGGGCAGGAGCGACCTCCCCAGGACCGAAGGACGAAAGAGAAGGAAACAAGTCAGCGAGGGGGAGGAAACGTGATCAAGGACAGACGAGGAAGGAGAGAGGCAGCAGAAAAGGGAGATCCATGCTGCTCTCCAGCCTCTCCTACCACCCAACTGGTGATAGGGACAATTCCTGAAACAGGCCGTGCCAATGGGGCCGTTGGAGCCCTGGATTAGAGGCCGGAGATCTCGTCTGGTGCATCGCTGCTGCGCCGGTGCAGGACTGCGGGCGTGGATTCGCTGGCCGGCAGAGGCCCACAAGCCCGTTCGGCACGGGGCCAGCAGTCGTGGCGGAGGACGGGCCGGACATTGGATGGTTGCATTCGGACGCTAAAGCAGTAATTAATTCAGCCTGGATGGACAACTGATGGACAATTGCTGCACAGACTATACAGACTTACAGAGGACATAGCATTATAAGAGACAACACACATGTCTCCGGTTCCTATACAGATATAGAATCTCATACATTGATGTAACACTGACTCCATGCAAAACAGTGATCATGCAGTGGTCATACGGCTGTGCCACCGTACAGTGATTAAATAAGTAGATTGCACCTCATAGGTTATCCGTTAAAGTACAGTGAATCTTGTCCCCCTCCGAAAACCCGCAAGGCAAAAGAGACCAGCATCGTCGCCCAAACATACAACTGAATCAAATGCGGAAACCAGACAGACTGCCACGCCATGAGCTCCGAGAGGCCGGTGCATGGCAATGCGTAGAAAGTATACAGGGAAGTGGAGATGCAAAGAGCAGACGCCACGGGCGATGGCCAGCCCGTGACGCCTGGTGAGAAAGGCACAACGGTCAAGGTGAGATGGGGAGCGGAACTCCAGCCCGACAGACAGCAGGGCCATCACTCCACCCCGTGGCTGTCAACGCTGCTCTCGCCGCCGGTAAACGTGCCCAGCTTCAGGCCGCTGTCCAGGGCCACCATCTCCGCCAGAATCTCCAGCACGTCTTTCGGCACCGTCTTGTCGTATATCGAGATCAAGTCCTTGGGTTGCGGGTAGACCTTCAGCGCCTTGTAGAACGCCAGAGCGGCTTCGATATTGTTGGATCCTGGGGCATTGCATCAGCGTCAGAGTTCACTGGGTCAGACATGACCGACGATATTGACACAACGTACCATCCGCACACAGAGACTCGCCCTTGGCGACTTGGCCCATGAAGTAGGCCTCCTTCTCCTCGAGGTCAGTGGGGAATCCCTCTTCCTTGGCCTGGGCGACCGCCTTCTTGATGGCTTCCCGCTGCTTGGCCCCTTGTGCCTCGGCCTCTTCCTTGACGGCGCGAGCCAGTCGTCGGTTGTCCCTCTTCAGGGCTCTCCGGAACTCGGGGTCGGATTGTCGCTTGTAGTCAAACCAGATCGCATAGGCTAGTCCCAGCATCAGCACAGCCAGCATTGCAGTCATGCCACGGATTTGCAGCATCAATGGCAGGAACAGGAGGAAACGAGAAGCGGCGTACCGAGAAAGCCTGTCAGCACCGTGCCGGCCGTCGCGGCCAGCAGCGTCGATGTTTTCATGGCGGACGGGCGGCAGCGGAGGGCAGTGAGAATGACAAGCAAAGGGGAGAGAGGCAGAAGCAAGAGCACTCGTGGAACGGCAGACCAATGGAAGATGCCTGCAACGATCGATGCTGCCGGGGTTCAGATGGTGGCCGAATGCTGGTGCAGGCGATGTCGGGCTTGTTGCGGTAACAATTAATTTTGATTGAGCTGGTGGATCATCGTTGTTCCGCCGCGGCGGCTCGGAACTGTCGCTGCAGAAGCGCCAGCTGTCCGCCCGCCCCGATCACGGGTCTGCAGCAGCGTCCTCGCATCATCGTCACGACCAGAGCGATACGCTGCCGCCATGGAAGGGCGTGGCCTGACTCTACGCAGCAAGTCGCGTCGGCGACCCCAGATCAGCGCCCCGAAGCCCATCTCCGGACCGCTCCCTGCCAACAGCAAGGCATCGGGCGCTGGTCTGCCCTCGACCCCCCGGGAGAGACCGCAGCAGAGCAGCGGTGCGACCTCTGATCTGGTCAAGAGACGCTATTCCACGCGATTCAACCAGCCTCCCGACTTAGATCCCAATGCCCCGCCGGTCCCTAGCCTCCCAGACCCCAAGACATACGGTGGTGCAGGAGCTTCGCCCCCTGGCGGCAAACCGTCGACGGGCTCATCCCAGCCGCCCCGCGTCGACCTCAAGGCCCTGAGGGATCCCAGCCTACCGGTTGAGAAATGTGAGTGCGGCCCTGCCATGACGTGGTGGTCACCGTCTAACGCTGGTGTGCAGATGTCGCCAGCTTGCTTGCCAATGCCTCCGAAGAGGAGATTCAAGACTACCAGGAGAGTCTACGGAAAGTGAGGAACCGGACATCGACGGACCTGCAGCAGAATGTCTACCAGAATCGTACGCAGTTCATCAAGATCAGCAAAGAGGCGGAGAAGCTGAAGGGGGAGATGCGAACTCTCCGCACCTTGATGTCGGAGCTCACCACCGCCTTGGGCCAGACGAGCATTGCCAACGGGCCCAACCCCCTGTCTCCGGCTGATGACCGTTTCTCCAAGCGCGCCAACCGAAGCTCGGTAGCAAACCTGGAGAGCATGTGGAACGTGCAATTGCAGACACTATGGAAGACAGTCGAAGGGTCACAGAAATTCCTGCCTGCTGTCCCTGGCCGGCATATCGTCTTAGAAAGCGGTCACTGGGTCGAGCTGGATTCGGCGACATGGAAGCCTAAACGGCCAGTGCATATCGTTCTTCTCAACGATCATCTCCTGGTCGCCGCCAAGAACGAAAGCGAATTGACCAGAACAACCCCAATCAGCGGGGTCCAGCGCCGACGAAGCTGGTGGCAGAGGAGTGCTGGCCATTACAGGATATCGACATGATCGACTTGGGTGCCAACCTTGGCTCTGGGCCAGCGCGTGCAGAGGCAGAAGACAGAGGAGTCAGCCACGCCATCAACATCCGCTACGGGTCCCAGTCCTATACATATCGATACGACCAGCGCACCAATTCAGCCAAGAATGAACTCTTGGCCACGTTCCGGAAGACAGTCGAGGATCTCCGCAAGACACTTCGTGCAGAAACAGAGGCCGCAAGCAATGGCTATCTTGGACGGAGAGATCGGAAGTCGGAGATATTTGATGGGTTAGAAAACTCGAAGGACAAACCAGAGGTCCGCATCGATGTCGATGGCAAGCAATACAATCTCCGGTGGGTGGAGGGACAGCTGGACGAGCTCGACATCGAAATTGCGCTGCAGCATTTCGAGCAAGCGGTATCCAGCGTCGAGCGGCTGCGGAAACTGGCTCGAGGGCTCAAGGGAAACACGACCGCGCAGGATATCATCAACATGAAGGTCGACGAAAGAGCGACGAAGCTGGCGAGCATGCTCACGCGGGCGTTAGTAGACACGCATTCGTTCCTCATGGCCACCAAAACCAACGTCGGATGGCTGAGCCGGCTAGGATTCGAGGATCGAGCACGCGAGGCGTACTTGCAGGCACGAACCGAGGTCATCCACAAACGGGCAAGGTATGATCCTATACACTCCGCAGAACTGACAATAATGATTGCAGACAACTAACTTCGCCACCAGGCAATGCGTCTTCGAAGGCGACCTCCCACTCTACATCTTCCAGATCTCATTCGTGTACTTCACACTGATCAAGAACACAATCAGCATCTACCAGCAATGTTTTCCACCCGTGATGACGAGCGCATGCATCAAATGGGCCAAGGAGCACCTGGACGAGTTCAACGCCACGCTGGTGCGGCAGCTCAGCAGCGTGCAGCGCGGCACATCCGTGTGGCAGAAATGCATGGACATCGTGGACGAGCACGCCAACATGCTGACGGAAGTAGGCGTCGATTTCAAGGATCTCATTGGCAAAGGCCTGGATGCGGTAGTTGGGGATACAGGTGGTGGTAGTAGTGGTGGTGGTGGTAATGGTGGTAACAATGGTGCGGAGGAATCCGAGGCGCAGGCCGCCAAGGATCAGTCTTGATTCTTTGTAACGACAACCGTGTTGTGTTGTGTTGTTCCATGTTAACGAGAATGTCTGCTTTGGAAGCAGTTCTCTTACTTCTGTTCCTAATGTCGTCTACCAGGGGAATGAGTGAGTGGGTTAGTCAATGAATGAGAGAGTTCATGACATTGAAGCCAACACCCATTATTTACTACATTGTTTTCGCGAAATGTCAATACCAATGCCATTGTTCATTTTTTTTAAAAAAAATTCCCTTTATGTATTTACCAATTCTTTCTTTTTAAACCAGATCTATACCTATGCCTATACCCACAATATATCCAGATATAACATAACACAAATTCATCCGTTTCCATATATCTATATATTATGTATATACAAGTCAATCACTTTTACGAGAGGACGGCGCGTAAGGCAGAACATAGTTATACACAATCTCATCGCCGGGATACTCCTTTGTCTTGCTCGACGGGCGACGCCGGGTCTTTCGCATCTTGTTGGAGCTCCAGATGTGATCCCAGAGCTCGCTGTTCAGGTTCAGAGAGTCGTTGGCGCGGAGGACGCCCATCTTGAACTCGAGGGGCTCGCCTACGCCGTCGTTGTCGGACGGGAGACGCATCCAGTGCCGCACGCAGCCCGGGACTTCCTCCTTGACGTGGCTGACGACGATGAGGGCCTGCTCGTCCGTTAGACCGGTGAAGCGCCCCTCTTTACCCGAGAACAGGCTGTCGTCAACGTCGAACCGTTTCAGCCGTCTCTGATCGCCGCCTTCGAGCAGGTGGAAACACTTTTCGCGGAGTGACGGCGACATGCCCGAAAATGCCTCGTCGAGGATCACCAGGTCTGGCTTGTGGATGATCGCGCGGAGGAAGAGCACCAGCCGTTGCTGCGGGAGACTGAGAGACCCGAAACGCAGTGAATCTGCATAGCTCACTTCGTCGTCGGGCAGTTTGGCCGTGTCCAAACTGCGGCCTGACGCCTCAAATGGCGAAAGCAAGTCAAACGCTTCCGATTTATCGCCCTTTTCTCCTCCATTCGTCCCTTTTCCTGTTCCCTGGGATGGGCTGCCAGCAGTGCCAGCAGTGCCAGCCGTGAAATTGGGATCCAGATCCGGCTTGAATATTCTCAGCACTCGGTCGACGTCGAGATCTCGCTCATGATTCAAAACAGGTTTGGAAAGGAATGTTTCTGCCCACGCGGACTCTATCGCTTGCCGCACCGTGAGCTGTCGGGGGAAGAATGCATGGACCTCGGGAGAGGAATGGCCGATTCGGGACTGGAGGTCAAAAACAGAGATGGCAGGCTTTCCGGGTTCTGGAAGGCGAGAACGACCAAACAAGCGGATTGGCAGCGCATAGGCTTGGGGGTGATCCGACGTGATCAGAGACAACAAGGTCGTCTTTCCTGAGCCGTTGGCCCCTAGGATGGCCCAACGCTGACCACGGCGGACTCTCCAATGCAAGCCTTCTTTCAACTCGTCATTGACTCTTTGCTTCCAGCCACCCAACACCGTCTTGTCGCCATATCGAACCTGGACGCCGTCCATCTCGATGATGGGCTCGCCATCCATGGCGGCATGTATCTCCAAACCCGAGGTCCTCTCTTCGAGCAGTCCCATATCCACGAGAAGATTCCGGTCTATGAGGCCATTCTCGAGATCCTTTTTCGCACTCTGGAACATGACCTTTTGGTCTTCGGGCCATGACTTCGGTGCGTGGAGGTTTTGCTTTCCCAGGTGTTTCCAGACCTGAAAAACCTTCTCAGCCTGTGATCGACTGCCTTGAAACAAGACGCGATGGCCATTCCCAAGGACCATAAGATGAGTGATCCAGTCCGGCACCTTGTCCTGGGGACGAAGGGCGAGCACAAGCCTTGGCGCGGATTTTTCCGCAAGCCCTCGCAGAAGCGTGGATATGCTGTTCACAGTGGCCGGGTCAAGTCCCACTGGTGGTACAAATCAGTCTGCCGCTCCAAATCGACCCAGATAGAGGGACTTACTGAAGGGCTCATCCAGCAGGAGGAGCTCTGGTTTGTTAAGCAGGGCCTTGGCTATCCGTGCCCGCCTGGTCTGACCATTGCTCAGATTTGCAACGGGCATGTCCAAGAGCTCTTCCAGCTTTAAGCTAGCGACAACCTCTCGTAGGAAGGCTTCATCGTGTACCTTGCCCTCCTCTTCTCCCTCGAGCGGGTTCAACGATGTTTGGCCTTTTAGGTACTGCCGGACTGTCCAGTCGGTGTCCTCTCGGAGACTCTCATAGCGAGCACTCAAGTATGCACCCCGGGTTCCTCCTGTGGCCTGCGAGCCTTCGCCGCTGAATCCAACATACTGGATGGCATTGCCCGGATATCGCAACCGGGGGTCTTTCGCGGCGATCTCGTCGGTGGAGAGGTAGGGATAGGAGCGAGCGTTCGGAGGTATGGAAATGTATTGGCCGCGCAAGACGTCGAGGAGCGCAGTCCTTCCTGTGGAACCAATCACGGCCCAATGTTGCAATTCCTTTTTCTCACTGCCCTCCGCAGCATCCGGTTTCGAGGGAAGAACGAAGTTGAAGTTGGGGAAAAGAGGGGGGTTGGGCTCCTGGGACTCCTGCGAGGGATAGCTGCGATAGAAGGTTCCGTTCTGGATGCGAATCAGCGGAGGCGCAGAGGACACATTGCGGGTGGCACGGTAGAGAATCGAGGCTCCGCGGGACCTCGATAGCAGAAACGGCCGTCTCAGCATCCCTGGCACCCCCATTCCCATGGACGAGCTGGTGTGCAATGCCAGGTGCGAGACGAGGCACCTGCATTCCGCATATACCTGCGGTGCTTCTCCGATGTCGCCAAGCCGGCCCTGTCTGCACGGAGAACGGCCCCAACTCCGGCACGCACGGGACTTCCTCTGTAGGGCTGACCGCACGTGCCACCATGCCGCTGTTGCTCCCGAGGTCACTTGACTACTCCGTACTACTGAAGTGCATGCTCCGTACTGCTTGACATCATTGATCGCCAGAGGATGCAATTCAAGAGCTGATGCGAAGTGCGCTTGATAGCGGATTGCGTGTTGAAAGAAATATGACCACGACGCCTCAACCGGCCAGCGACTATGTCCAATCGCTTCATCGCGCCAGCACGTGGGACAGAGCTCTCTAGATTATGCCATCCCAGGCTAGCGGCCATGACTCGCCTGAATCCTCCCTTCCAGGCCGCTCAGAAAATGGCCCGGCTCTCACCTTGACGGGAAGGACCATTCAGGCGTGTGATCGGTGTCGACTAAAGAAGGTGGGTCACGCGTTCACCGGAGTGATCCTACTTGGCCGCTCACCATCCTATCTTGCTAGGTTCGCTGCGACGGAGCTGTTCCTACGGTAGGTCTGCGCTGCTTAGAATATTGCGAATGGTCGCAGTATCTTCTGCGCGCAAGCAAGGGATGCTAATCTGTCGCAATTGAAGTGTGGACGGTGTAAACGCGTCGGCCTGGAATGCCTGACTACGGTAAAGCTGAACCGCAAGTCTTACCCCAGAAGGTAGATATTGCACTCCAAATAGCTCAATCTCAGGGATAGTGCTCATGGCATCAGCTACACCGAATCGATCGAACAGCGTCTGAGGCAGTTGGAAGCCGAAGTCCATCAACTAAGAGACAGCAATGACGCCAAGGATAAGCGGATCAAAGAGCTGGAGTCTTCGTACACCAAGCCTGCCATCTATGGACAACCGAGCTCTGCTGCTCTCCGAGGAACCGTCCCGCTCATTACCCCGAGTCGGGACAGCTTCTCAAGGAACAATGCCAGGCCACCGACTGACGAGCCCCTCTCGCGCGAAGTAGGGCGGATGAATCTGGACGGATCTGGCGTTGGACGATTTATGGGCTCCTCGTCGGGAATTTTCTTCGTTGGAACAGCGCAGCAGAAGCTCGCCAAGATCAGCAAAACGCCGGGGAAAATAGGAGATGCCCTCCTTCGAGTTGACATCGATGACGATACAATACAGTATCCTCTTCAACCACGCATTGACGATGCACATGCATCGATTATCCTTCCACCGTTAGAGACGGCTACAACGTACATAGACGCCTGGTTCGACTCGTGGAAATTCCTGCTTCCGATCCTTCATCGTCCTAGCTTCATGAATGAAGTGAACGGTCTCTATTCGGCCCCGCCTGAGCAACGCGATAGAGCATTTCTAGCATTATTCTTTCTTGTCTTGGCCTTAGGATGCCGTCACTTGTTTCTCACCGGTGTAGCCAACCAGGGTTGTCCGACTATCAATGCGGAAGGGAAGGATATTGATCTATTCTGCCAGTCGTCCAAATTCCGGGACGACATTCTGGCCCCGAATGATCTCCGAACACTGCAGTTTCAAGGAATTCTGGCCATGTGGTACCTCTACACGGGAAAGCGAAGTCTCGCCTTCCAGGTGACTGGGAGCATGACCAGACTCGCCCTTGAGCTAGGGTTACATCGACATACGAGAAGATTCCACTTCAGCCCATTGATAACCGAGCTGCGAAAGAGGGCCTTCTGGGTTTGCTACATGCTCGATAAGTAAGTACCCTTGTACGACCGCTTGGGATGTGTTCTGATCGACAACAGCTTCCTTTCTGCGGTGGAGGGACTTCCAAAAACACTCCGGGATCGTGATATTGATGTTGAGCTGCCGTCTGATGTGGACGACGATTTTGTCACCGCCGACGAGTACTTATTATCCCTTCCTGGTGAACCGACCGGAATGCTTCTTTTCGTGTCTCTGATCAAAGTCGTGCGTGTCCTCTCCAACGCTCTGGAGATTCTCTACACCACGACGGAGAGGAGACAGGCTGTGACAAAGATTGAGTCCATTGATCGATCGCTCGATGAATGGTTGCACAATCTTCCCGATCATCTCCACCTTGATCCAGCTACTCTCTCAGAGTTTTCAGGCGACGACCGGGGAACTGACCCGGCTGTTGCATTTCTCCATTTGACGCATCTCTATACGCGATTTGTAGCCCATCGCGTGGCCATCTCATTCCAACCTCAAGCTATTCAGTATTGGACTTCGCTCGCAAGATGTACGACTCTCGCAAAGGAGATCATATGCCTTAATGCGCAATGTCAACGTCATCTACTCGTCTTCGCGTTGAATCCTGGATCGCACGTGTACACTTTATGGTCTTGCGGGCTAATGGCCCTGTATGGCTTGTGGGAGTTCAGGACGAGAGAAGAGGGAGACTTGGACTCGGCCACTGCGAGCGATCTGAGATTGGCGGCGGAAACCTGTGTAAAACTCCTCGTGTCACTGGTGGCCGCTGGTAGACGCAGAGAGCAGGTTAGAGTTGACAACCTCAGGGAGATAATCACAGCAATATTCTCCAGCCAGACGTCATCTGCAATGAGGACGACAGATGCTTTCAGCACCTCTCTGCTCCCAGCAATTCCTCAATCAAGCATGAGCTCCCATACACCATCTGATAGACAGTCCGCAACTTCAGGGAGCACGTTTAGTCAACTCTTCCAATCAGCATGCGCCGGCCAGAGTGAAGACAGTGTTAATTCATCCAGCGGTGCGGCTGCGCAAGCCAATCCTAATGATTCGCCAGGCTTGGTCCGCTCAGAAATGGCAATGCCGACACCACAGTTGATGAACGGTTTCAGCGTCGACTATAGCAGCTTCTCGCAACCCCAGCAGATGCCATCCATGGGATATGCTCACGATCAGGGATCGATCGTGGGCAACCAGTCCCTGGATGACATCCAGCAAATCTGGGACGATCCAGTTTTCGACCTGACGTCCATGATCAGTGCGGGTTCCAACACCGCATTCGCAGATGATATGGCCAACTTTTCGGCGTCGCGTGATGATGGATCGTCCAGGAAAAGGATAAGGACAGATGCGTCATGAATCAATTAGTTCGCTACACTTGAAAATTCGTTGTCGTTGGTTATATAATCATTTCCTGTCCATACCAGTGAATAGAGCAGTCTCATATCTTGGTAATTTATGACACTGTCCTCAGCAGCCTCAGATGGTCGAGTATACTCGGTAGAACCTTGAGTTCATTCGTCAATAAAGAGATGTTGTCCAGTCAATCTGGACAAGACAGACCCATTGACCAAATTGGTTATTGTCACAGCATCAGGCACGAGCGTTGTAGAAGCCTTAGGTTGAGTAATACGGCTCAATTGTGATCCAATTGGCTGATCACCCCCAAATCTTCAAAAGTTACGCGAGTAACATCGTAAGATTATAACTGTGTTGAGATGAAACATTCTCAGATCGGAGTGTGTTGCGCTGATCGTCATCGCCGCTCCGCCGAGGTTGGCTGCCCTTCCTCCGATGCAACGCTCCGCCAGGAAGAAATGAGGCCTTCGCAGGCCGACACCGACAATTATTTGGCAATGTGAAACTCATCTACACTATTTACATCTTTGACAACTCCTGGACACGTCTGAGTCGACAATGATAGCAGTTTGGGCCGAACGATCACGCGCGTCCGGCTGGTCTTCCGCGTTCTGGATCACCGCCGCGCTGGTCTCGGTGCCGGTCATCACGACCGCATTGCTGCGCAGTCGCCGGTGGGAGTCTGAGTCCCAACAACGACGGCCAGATCTGGCGTTAATTCCGTCTCTGCCTCTGTTCCTCGAAGCGAAGAAGCATGCGACGACGAATCCCGACAAGGTTGCCGTCGTCGACAGGACGAAAGGGCAGAGTTTCACGTACCGCCAGCTGCTGGCAGATGTGTCGGCGCTGAAGAAGTGGCTCCTGGAAGAGCTGGGTCTTGCGTCGACAGGGGATCTGCAGGAGAGGAGAATTGCCTTCCTCGTGCCGAATGGTTACGACTACGTGGTCACTCAATGGGCAGTTTGGGCTGCGGGGGAGTGGCTGTTCCTCTGTGTTCGTCTACATACATACATACAAGTTACCGTGAGAATTGCTTCTGACTGAAACAGGTACATCTCACCCAGTCAAGGAATTGCTCTACACGATTGGAGACTCGCAGCCGTCGTTGGTGATCATCCACCCCTCTTTCCAGAAGCTCGAGCCGTCTCTACGAGAGCAAGCGACCCATGTTCGGTTTACGACGTCAGTGCCATTCGCTACGTCGCGGTCTGAGCTGCCTCCATTTCATCCGTCATTCCCCACGACGAGAAGAGCGCTCATGATCTACACTTCAGGGACAACGTCCAATCCAAAAGGATGCGTGTCGACGCACAAGAACATCACCTTCCAGGCGGACTGTCTTGTGAAGGCATGGCAGTACACGCCCTCGGATCATTTGATACACGTTCTTCCCCTTCACCATATACATGGAATCATCAATGGATTGACCGCTACGCTGTTGAGCGGAGCAACCGTGGAGATGCACCCAAAGTTTGACCCCAAGGTCATCTGGGAGCGGTGGCAGGATAAAGGCTCGTCGACGATGTTCATGGCGGTGCCAACCATCTATTCCCGGCTTGTTGACTACTTCGACGCACATATCCGGTCTACAGAAGCGGAGGCTGCTGCCAGGGAGGGAGCCAAAGCGCTGCGACTGGTCGTGAGCGGCTCCGCGGCCCTCCCGACACCGATCAAGGCCAAATTCGCCGAAATCACCGGCCAGACGCTGCTGGAGAGATATGGGATGACTGAAATCGGTATGGCCATCAGCTGCGGACTTGAAGTCGAGAAGAGGATCGACGGCAGCGTCGGCTGGCCGCTGCCGGGAGTGCAAGTGCGGCTGGTCGACAAGGAGACGGGAGAGATTATCGAGTCGGCGGACGAAGACGGCATGATCGAGGTGAAGGGCGACAATGTGTTTCTGGAATACTGGAACCGGCCCGAAGCCACGGCTAAAGAGTTCACACCGGACGGATGGTTCAAGACGGGCGACGTGGCGAGACGCAACAAGGACGGGGCGTACTTTATCCAGGGCCGGGCGTCAGTCGACCTGATCAAGTCTGGTGGTTACAAGATCTCCGCGCTGGAGGTGGAGCGAAAGATGCTGAGCCTGGACGCGATTCAGGAGGTGGCAGTAGTGGGCGTTGCGGATGAAGAATGGGGACAGCGGGTGGCAGCGGTGGTCAAGCAGAAGCCGGGAGTAAGTCAGCTCAGAATTCGTGTCCTTTTTGTTTCTGTCTAACAGGAACAGACTGCCCCCTTGGAACTCAGCACGCTCCGCGCGCAATTAAAAGAGGAAATGGCGCCGTACAAGGTGCCCACCATCCTGCGGGTAGTGGACGAGATTGAGCGAAACGCCATGGGCAAAGTCAACAAGAAGGACTTGCTGAGGAAGTACTGGCCGGAGAGTGCGTAGCAGACGGATGCAGTTACGCAGTGGCTGCAATGTACGATTCGATCATGACATGGATGTACTACAGTACAAGACATAGACCTAGACGATTGTACGATACAAGATTATACAATGTTCTCTGGAGTCGAATTTGTGCTAATCGCCAGGATAGAATAGTGTTGATACTACGGCCCAACATGTAAAACAACTTTAATCAATGGACAGGAAGTCCAGTCCGAAACTCAGATCGGAAGTCTGCTGCTATTTCAGGTACTGTTGTATGTACCTCCTTACCTTACAGGTACAGCCTTTTGTTCCTGTTCCACGGTTCTCAAACAAGTTTATCGGATACCCAAGCTACCTATCTAGATGTGAAGGTGAAGGATGACCGAATCATGACCCGTCCATGAGCCGGTCATTCCATTCCACTCCATTATTCCATACACTTGGAGTCGAATCCCATTGACGTAGTCAAGTCAGCACATTCAATCTGAATTAATTATTAAATGCCTTTATATGTCTTACCACTTACAAGAGATCTGATTTGAAGAAAGAAACAAAAATGACCCTCCCGCAGTTCCTTCACACGAGAAGCAGCAATAACCATAACAACAATAATGCATGCAGGCCCACAGCAGCAGAGGCAGCAGCAGCGACTTCTGCAATGATGTCTGGCGGCGGCAACAGCAGCAGCGGCAGCAGTAACAATAGTAATAGCAATACTTCCTCGCCAGCGACTGCTACCACTGCTACTACTGCTACTACTATCACCACTACTACGAGCAATACCGATATCAATACCAATACGAATACCAACACCCTCTCCCCAAGCGAAGAGCACCAGCATCCACTATTCAGGAAACGCTCCACGACGGCAACAACAATCGCTAACGGAAACAGCAATGTCAATTCCAATTCCACTGCAGGTGCAGGTACTGGCGCCGTCATCAGCGACATCTACAGCAAGACATGCATCAACATCGAGCAGACGGAGAAGACGGAGGACGCGGGGTCGCAGGGTTCGAGCACGAATTTGAACTTGAATTCGAATTCTAATTCTAATTCGAATGCGAATTCTAATTCGAATGGGAATGCGAATGCGTGGAGGGATCGGAGAGGGAATCCGCTTCGGTAGGTGTCTCTTCTTCTTTCTCTTCCTCTTCCTACGTATGTATGCATGTCTACTATGTGCTGTACATGTATGTGCATGTGCATGGAATATTTCTCTTCTATATCGTGCCTTTTTTCTATCTTCTTCAGATGACACACAGCTCGTGGACGTACTTACTCGAAGCAGCTGCTTTCCTTTTCTGGCCCCATCATACTCTCTCTGGTCTTGTTGTAGCTGCAATTTCGGGTTGAATTCTGCAAGTTTATTCTCCTTGCTTATCCATGGCAATTCGTTAATAAACAGACTGTCTATTACTTGTTATTGATAACTCCCAATCCGTTCCCTTTATGTATTATTCAATTGTAGCCAGAGCCTGCCACTAACGTTCAAACTAGCTGGATCTACCGAAAACAAGGACAAGGATCTCTGGATCAACTTCAGAAATCGCAATCGCAACCGCAACAACCACCGCCTCCAGCAGCAGCAGCTGCACCAGCAGCACCAGCAGTGGTAGCTCCTCCTATTCACCCACTCACTCGGCAACTGTCGCAGTCACAGAAACGCCAGCAGCAGCAGCAGCAGCAGCAGCAGCAACAGCAACAGCAAGAACAACAACTCCTCCTCCGCGACGAAGAAATCCGGCACTTACACCAGCAGGTAACGAACCTCTCGACACGAAACACAGACCTCGAGCGGCTCAACGCCGAACTGGCATCGCGCAACCGCACGCTAACGCACGACCTGGCCCTGGAGCGGGAGACGCATCGACGCTCACGGGAAGAGACGAGCAAGCTGCTCTCGCGCACCAGCGCGCTGGAGCGGCAGACAGGCGCGCTGGAGACGCAGCGACAGACGCTAAACGAGCAGCAGGGCAAGGTGCAGAAGCTGAGCGTCCTCCTCGGGCAGCGGGAGGCGCATATCCGGACTCTGAACGGGGTGCTGGGCCGGTACAGTGGGCATATCGAGCGGCTCGAGAAGCTGGTTGCTGTGCTGGAGGGCGAGTGGCGGTTGATTGCGCCGTTGCTGGATCGGCATCTGCGGTTGCGTCCTGGGGTGGGCATGGATCTGAGGAAGATGAGACTGATGTTGGGAGGAGATGATGATGATGAGCAGACAGACCTGTTGACGTTGCCAACTCAGTTGAAGAAGGTGCCGTGATACAGTAGCAGTTTTCATACCGGTGTTCACCTGTTAGGTAGTAGTAGTGGTGTCAACTAACTGCTAGTGTAGTCTGACGCTGCATTGTTATAATGATGATGATGATAGCTGGCTTGCTCCAAGGTCGGGTCAAGTATATCACGAATCATCAACTGGTATAGTTCAGATCTTAATGACAGTTCTGCCGATCATTGATCATATCATCATTCGTAGCATATTCACAAACATACATATGTAATACCCAACTATCAGTATAGACAATACCCATATCAACAAGTCATGCATACAAAATAGTTGTTTTCAAGTCTGGAAAATCCATCGAGGATCCTCATCACCCTGGAAATCATCCCCTCCATTGCCAACCTCCTCCAACGGCGCGATCCCGCGGATCTCGCGCTCCTGCGCCTTGCGGACGTTCTCCCTCCGCAGGACCAGCCACAGGGTGGTCGCCACGCCGATGTTGGCTACCAGATACCCCAGCGCGAAGCCGTGGCCTACAAAGAATCGCGGACTGCTCTCGGCGCGGTACAGCTGCGTGCCCAGCACGGCACCGAGATTGCCGATGGAGATCTGCATCGCGTTGGCGATCGCGCGCTTCGTCTGTCCGGACACGTTGTTGGCCGGCCACGCCAGGACGATGGCCGCAGAGGGATAGATCCCCGCGGCTGCGAAGACAGTCCCGACGTAGGACCGGCCCGGACTGTGTGTCGATAGCAGAATGATGTACCCGATACAGCCGATGGCCGAGCTGGCCATGACGAAAGGCGCACGGCGCCGAGTCCGCTCGGAGAGGACGGCCACCGTGATGGTCAGGACGAAAGCGACTGCGTAAGGCGGGACGGAGAGAAGCTGCGCGGCAGCGGCAGAGTATCCCAGCTCGTTGATAATTGTCGGCTGCAATCACATCCGTTAGCTTAGCAGTGACAACAGTGAAAAAAGGGACGGGGCGTCTGGTTCGTACCAGGAACAGCGACAGCGTATACAGCGGAAGAGAGATGGTGTGGAAAGCCAGCCCATAAAGCCAGACCTTCGGGTCCTTGGCAGCCTTCAGCACTGCCGTCCAGGTAAAAGATTCATCGCGCGTGGCATCACTGTCGTATTTCAGACGGAACTGGATAAACTCCCTCTCTTCCTCGGTCAGGAATTCGGCGGTCGACGGATAGTTGTAGACCAGGAAATACGCGAACAAAGCAACAACGATCGTGGCTAAGCCCTCCTACACATTGTATCCGTCAGTGCTGCTGTCGTCTCTATATATATCATTTAACGAAGATTGTAACCCACCAGAATGAATATCCATCTCCAGCCATTGTAGCCACCCACGCCCCTCATGTGTCCAATGCCCTGTTAACGGGTCAGTTCCATCCACATAGGTCAAAGTTCCAAGATTACCCACCCAGGCTAAGACACCACCAAATGCACCAGCCAGAGAAGCTGCGCTGAAAAACAGGGCGACGCGATAATGCTGCTCATTGCGTTTGTACCACATCGAGAGGTAGAACACCACTCCCGGGAACAGACCACTCTCAGAGACTCCGAGGAAGAAGCGCGAAGCGAGATATCCGGAATAGTTCTGGACGACACCCAGCAGCGTGGCGACGACCCCCCAGATAAATGTCACTGTCGGCAACCACATGCGCGGACTGGTTCGCTTGAGAATGATGTTGCACGGAACTTCGAACAAGACATAGCCGATGAAGTACAAGGTCAGGCCGGTCAGGTACTGGTCCCCAGCTGACATAGTGTTAGTGATCCTGACGGTTTGAAGGGACAGAATTCATTCCAACGTACTCATCTTCACATCAGTAACCAGTCCTTCCAATTTAGCATTGCCGACTGTCAAACGAAGACGTTAGCAGCAGTCAAAAGCCAAGCGCTATTGGTATGTGCCGTGTCATGCCGTACCATTGCTGCGATCCAAAAAGGACATCAGATACAGCAGCGTCAACGGTGGTAAAAGCCTCAGATCCAGCTTGCGGAGCAAGGCTCGTTCATTGATCTTCGAATTCGCCTCCGCAACGGCTTCTGACGACGGCGAAGCCGTCTTGAGCGCTACCTCTGGAGCCGGCTCACCTGCCGGCTGCTTTTTCTCAATTGAGTCCGCCATCGTGACCGAGGCAACTGTGTCTGCGTGTGCCAGAGAACCAACAGTTGGAAGACCTCAAGGAAGAAGCAGCAGCTGTCAAAATTCAGAGATCGCAGATCGACTGCATTAATAGTAGTTTCGACGCTTAGGACCCGCCGTGGACCTAGGCCACAGCACGACATCATCCACGCGCCATGCGCCATGCGCCATGCGACAGCTGGAGGGTCCATAGGGAAGAAACGTGCCTGCACCTAAAACAACCATAAATGCACTGCGCCAGAACGGCAGATGGCCAGAGCTTTTACCCAAGTCTATGGGGACTCGCCAGAACATAACCCCGTATGTTGTCCGTCAAGCTAATCGTAGCATACAGAACTAAGAGCGCATGCCTAAGGAGCTGCCATTCCAGGCATAGACGTGCTGGAAGACCGAGGCGTGGGCGCAGATGAGCAATCGAAGCTCCAAATGACGAGATCGGGAAATAAGCCATCGAGCCAATGATAGCAAGCACGTCTGTTATCCACAGATACCTGTACTCCGGAGTACTATCCAGGACTCACTCGGCAGAGACGGACATGTAACTAACTACTGCAAAGTAAAACGTTTAATATCAACATCGTAATCGAATCGAATTCTACAAAAAAAAATCAATTGGCTGGCTTACCTAGCATTTTACTTCTTCTTTTTTTTTCTCCTATTCTTTTTCCCGAATACACTTCTGTTCTTCTGTGCTGTCGGAGCATCGAATGGACGGCTCCTGTTGGCTGGCAGATCTCGCGGATCACGCAATTTCGGTCCAGGATGAGCGATCGCTGACTCAGATACCAAGCTGACATCCACACAGAATAAGAACAGTATTAGTAGTCAAATACTATATCAGAAAATCAGCATGATTATTTGGCAAGACGAAAAAGCAGATAAGCTCACAGTAAGCAGACCAAGAATGCCTTGCCGAACTCACCTTTGGTACCGTCAATTTGAAAAAGTAAAAAGGAGACAAGATAGTGTAATCTCTGTTATTTCATGAAACTTTCATATGCTGTGGATGGTATCGCTTTCACAAGAGCAATCGATAATTATTGTGATTTGAGACAGGCTCGTATTTTGTCATGTTGTAGAGAGTAGTAGTTCAGATGGGATGATATCCCGCAGCCAAGTCCAGCGCTAAACTCGCGAATTCTAAATTCTACTCTCGTAGTAAACCAAGCTTCCGAAGATATGCCAATATACATTCTAAAAAAAAATAATAATAATAATTAATTAATTAAAAATCAGTGAAGAGGAAAAAAAAATCTATTTCTATTCCCAGATCCCAACCTCCCTGAAACCATGATCCCAACCCAACCAACCCAACCCCACGCCATGAACAGAAAAGAAAAAAAAACCACCCCAGACACAACACGAAACGCCACATAAATGACCCATAAATAACCATAAATAACCCATACCACACATAAACCACACGACATGACATACAAATACACGTATACCCCATATCCATGCCTAATGCAGAAAATTCGTCTAATGCTAGAATTCTATCCCCCACTGGGAAAGCTACTTTTTATATACTGTATCTCAAAACTTTTTTTGGTACATGCAGGCAAAAAAAAAACAAGACGCAAATGACAAATAAAGCCAGCAGGTGAACGTTTTTTGCTAATGTCCTCAGTCTTCTGCCGAAGGAACGACGTCTCATGGTGCCAGAACCAAAGCAAGCAATGCCATCCGACAGTAGAGACCATAGCGCATCTGGAGACAAACATTAGCATGGTCCTGTTAGTAATGCTCTTCGGCAGACTCACCTGTCTAAAGTAGGCCGCCCGCTGGTCGAAATCCACCTCTTCACTAATCTCCGCGTTCCTTGGCAGGGGATGCATAACAACCATGTGGCTCTTGGCATGCTTAAGAACGCTGTTGTCGATAATGAAGCTGTTCTTCAACCGTTCGTACTCATCCAGGTCGGCAAACCGCTCCTTCTGCACACGCGTGCAGTACAACACATCCGAGCGGCTGACAATTTCCGGTGTAAGCTCCTCGGACTCCAGAATGAGCTGCCCAGAAGCCGCAACCTGCTGGCGCACCTCCGCCGGCAGGGACAATGCTTTGGGTGCCACCAGCTGCACCCGGACATCATAGAACTGGAGGAGCTTGATCAGGGAGTGAACCGTGCGTCCGTACCTCAGATCACCAGTGAAGGTGACAGTGAGACCCGTCACAGTTCCGAGTTCCTCCCGGATGGTAAAGAGGTCGAGGAACGCCTGCGTCGGGTGCTCCAGACTGCCATTGCCACCGTTGATGATCGGAACAGGCGAGAACTTAGCAGCCGTCGCGGCGCTGCTTTCCTCAGGGTGGCGCAGCACAATCGCATCGCCGTAGCAGCCCAGTGTACGGATGGTGTCCTGCAGGGTCTCTCCCTTCTTCGTAGATGAGTGCTCCGTCGAGATCACAACCGTTCGTCCTCCAAGGCGTTGCATGGCAGCATCAAAGGAGGCCGAGGTCCGGGTCGACGGCTCGTAGAAAAGGTTGCACAGAACCCGACCCTTGAGGATATCGAGCACTCCCTGCCGTTCCACACCCAGACGCATTTCCTGCGCCACAGTAAAGAGAAGATGAAGATCTGCACGGTTGAATTGATTGACAGAAATCACGTGCTTCTGTCTAAAAGTAGACCGAGACAGCAGCTCGAGGAGCGACGGAGACACCTGCGAGACAGGCGTGAAGAGTGGGGGGCCGAGCTCAGGGACACTCGGCACCGCAGATGCATCCGCGGCCTTCGGGCGTGCTGGCCGAACCGGGGTGCCAGACATCGAGAGCCGGCGTTCAATCGAACTGTCAGGTCGGGGATACACCTTGGGCGACACGGCCTTAACAGAAGGCGAAGGTGGCACAATCCGGTGTGAGGACATGTCCGCACCTTTCGCGGCCTCGGGCAACAGGTCTCCGTCGAGACAGGAAGTTTTGCCCTGGAAAACGACTCTGTGGACCGATCCTTTCATGGGCTTGCCTTCGAAAGGAGACCAGGCACGGTCATTGTGGTACACATAAGGACGGTCCACCTCAATCTCAACGGATGCGTCTGGCTGATCATGCAGCTCAAAGATTCTCTTGGGATTGTGATAGAGCCTTGCAGAGATGTCGTCCAGGGTCAGCCGGCCCTGGGAGGCCGCCGTAAGCAACAAGGGAAGAGCATCCGCGATACCAACAGTAGGGCTAGCATTCTTGCCAGCCAGCTGGTATGGAAGACTGCCAACCGAGAAGACGTCGATCGTGCCCAAGTGCTCCCACAAGGCCTTCTGGTCTTCGGCCGTGGGCAGACAGTGACATTCAGGGTAGTCATCTTGGGACAGGAACAGACTGTAGATCGAAACGTCGCAGGTGATCTTGAGACCCTTCTCCTTGCTGAGGGCAATAAGGTTGATGTCGTCCTTGGACGTCACACTCATCACATGGACATTACGATTGTGGAGGCTCGCCAAGAGTAGGATCGAAGCTAGATCAGTTGCCTTCGCATCCGTGATGATGGGCTTGCTGGACGGCCACGCCGCGAAGTGGCTGGTGACGGCAGCGACTTTGTTGATGTTTCCAGACAGATGGTTGAAGGGGATGAACAAAGCGCCCACTTCGCCCGTCACTTGACCAATCTGGTCCGAGTTGGAAGCAGTTGCCGCAACGGACAAGTTGAAGTCACAGTACGCGCCATCCTGAGAATTCTGCTGGGCAATCTTCAAAGCGGAGGCATCGGTAACGAAGTTGTCAACACCAACCGGCATGACACGGATCATGGTAAAGCCGGCGGCGATCGAAGCCTTGCTGACCACCTGGAGATCCTTCGAGCCAGGACGAGCTAGCCCTGGAACAAAGGCGGCAATGTTGATCAGACCAGGCAGCACCACAGTACGATGGCTAGTTTGATAGTCAATGTTCAGCACATCTAACTGATACTGCCGCGCCAGCGCTTCGATCAAAATCTTCGCGTTTTTGACATTCGTCACAAGAGGAGTCTGGTAGTCCACAGCCATACGACGGGTCCTGTAGCCCTTGCTCATGTAGTTCGCGGGCCGTCTGAAACGGTTGTTGGACGGCAGGTTAATGTAAAGATCGATGAGATTGTTGGCCAAGTGCTGCGTGAGAGAGTATTCAGACTTGAGATCTTCCTCTTGGCCTGCAAGGAGTTCCAGGTATTTGACGGGAATGCCATGCTCTTCCAGATAGTCCGCAGTACCCGCAGTGGCGAACAGGTTGAATCCCATCTGGTGCAATTTCCGAATGGAAGGCAGCATCTCCAGTTTCTCCTTAAAAGAACCGATTGACAGCAGGATGTTCTTCTTCGGAAGGCGGAAGCCCGTTGAGATGAGGGCTTTGATGTAGGCCTCGTACCGATCACGCCCGAAACACGCGACCTCTCCAGTAGACGCCATCTCCACACCCAAGACCGGGTCGGCGCCAGACAGCCTGGAAAAGGAGAATTGAGGGACTTTAACGCCCACGTAGTCCTTCGGGACAGTAATCGGTGGGTATTCCGTAAAGGGGGCGCCGATCATCGCTTTCGTTGCCATCTCAATCAGATCAACGCCCATGACCTTTGACACGAAGGGGAACGATCGAGAGGCTCTGACGTTGCATTCAATGACCTTAATGTCATTATCCTTTGCAATGAACTGGATGTTGAACGGGCCAGTCACGTTGAGAGCATCGGCAATCTTCCGCGTGGCGTCCTCGATCCGTCGTACGGTCTCGGGGTCCAAGTCTTGGGGAGGCAGAATGAGAGTCGCATCACCAGAGTGAACACCAGCATTCTCAACATGTTCGGAGATGAAGTGGCCCACCATGACACCATTGCGGGCCACGGCATCCATCTCGATCTCCTTGGCATTCTCAATGTACTTGGTGATCACCACTGGATGCTCTCGAGAGACCTCGGCGGCCTGGTTGAGATAATTTGCCAGATCATCCTTGGAGTAAACTGTGTTCATCGCAGCACCGGAAAGCACATACGACGGTCGCACCAGCACAGGATAGCTGACCTTCTCACAGAATTCAGTCGCCTCTTCGATGCTGGTAAGTTCCTTCCAGGCGGGTTGATCCACCCCGATGCGGTCGAGCATCCGAGAGAACTTGTACCGGTTCTCGGCGGTGTCAATCATCTCGGGAGAGGTTCCCAGAATCTTGACGTTCAGACGGTGCAGGGGCAAAGCAATGTTGTTGGGAGTCTGTCCACCCATGGAGATGATCACACCACTGGCGGATTCCAGCTGATAGATGTCCAGAACAGTCTCCAAGTTGATGTTCTCGAAATAGAGCCTGTCTGCCTCATCGTAATCGGTACTGACTGTTTCGGGATTATAGTTCACCATGACGGTCTTGTGGCCCTGCTCGCGAAGGGTCCGGATGGTTCTGACGGAGCACCAATCGAACTCGACAGAGGAGCCAATTCGGTAAACGCCAGATCCCAACACCATGACCCCATGGTCTTCAAACTTGACGTCATGCTCGGAACCATTGTAAGTGAGATAGAGGTAGTTGGTGAAAGCAGGGAACTCCGCAGCCACGGTATCAATTTGCTTGACAACCGGGAAAATACCCGCTTCAACACGCATGCGTCTGATGGCGAGTTCATTGGAGCCCAGGAACTTGGCAAGTTGACGGTCGGCAAATCCTAGCTGCTTGGCTTGGCGGATGAGATCAAGAGGCACGTTCGAAGCATTGTAAGTGCTAAGCATCTTGCCAAAGTCGCTGAGGCCCTTCAGTTTGCGGAGGAACCACTTGTCAATTTGCGTCAGCTTCCAGATGTCGTCCACAGAGTACCCGGAGTGCATGGCGTTGGCAATTGCGAAGAGGCGTTGGTCCGAGGGTGTTTGGAGTTCGGTCTTGATGGACATGAGAGCGTTGGTCTCGTTGAAACCCAGATTGTGGTAATCAACCGATCGGATGGCCTTCTGGATCGCCTCTTCAAACGTTCTTCCAATGCTCATCACCTCGCCGACGCTCTTCATGGAGGAGCCCAGCTGGGTCGACACCCGAGTGAACTTCTTCAGATCCCAGCGA